TGAGACTAGGCCCACAGAGCAGGGGGAGGCTCCCTGGAGGGATGGCCAGGTGACACCCACTGAGGACTGGCAGGGGACACTGTGGCTGGCCGCCTGGCCCAGCATCCTGAGGAAGGGGCCACAGGCAGCACTGGAGCGCAGCAGACAGGGGTTCCTGACACTGCAGGCCACACACTCCCGGAGAGCAGGGTCCCAACCATGGCGAGGGAGGAACAAGACCATCAATTGTGCATTCAGGGCCCAGAGAGGTCAGGATCTGCCTCAGGTGACACAGCACAGTCTGGCACAGCCAGGAACAGGGCGGGCAGTGGGAAGCACGCTCAGGGTCCGGTACGGCCCTCTCTGCCTCGCTCCCATCCCTCCTGCCCGCAGGCCTTCAGGCCCCCACACCCAGGCAGAAACAAAGGCCGCTTCCTGCCGGGAATGAGGAATGATGGGAGCTCCTCCTCTCTGAGCTGCTGGGTCCAGGATGTAACTAACTGGCAGCCTCCCGCCCCTCACAGAAGGGTAAACTAAGGCACAAGCCACCCCTAAGGCCCTGGGTCCCAGACCAAGGTGGCACATTTCAAGGCCAGCAGCACGGCTGGGAAAGTTCCTCAGGGGCGGCCGCTGGCCCTGCAGGCCGCCTGGCTGCTCACCTGGGCGCTGGCTGACACACAGGCACTCTGGAATGTGGCCCTGGGACACCCGCCTGCCCAGAACTCAGGCATCGCTGACGTGGCCATGGCAGTGGCTGGGGCAGGACCTCTAGCAGTGACCAGGCCAGCTAAGGGGCAGGGCTTTGTGGGGTAGGGGTATGTGACTACCCTCCCTGAGAAGACAGCCCCCAAGCTGGGAGCCTGACCTACTTCCACCCCAGGTGACCCCAGAACAGGCTTCTGCCTCCCCATCTGCCAGCTTGAACAGCCTCATCAGGCATACCTGACCCCAGTCCAGGAGGCCCCATACCAGCTCTGGGATGCGGGGTGCCGGGAGGGGACCCTGTCCTGAGCTCCCCTCTGACACCAGACCAGGAGCCCCTGCCCCAGCTCAGGGGTGCAGGGATGCTGCGAGGGGACCCTATCCTGCCCAACCTATGATCCCCCTGTGCTCTGCTCTCCCAGGCTGTGTTAGTGAGCAGTTGCCATGGACACCGGTCTCACTTCTTTGGCAGGAAGGGCTCCCCCAGGGCAGGGCTGTGCCTCTCCTCACCTCCCCTCACCGGCCCCCACCTTGGCCAAGTCCAAGTGCCCCCTCCATCTGCCACGGGCCGGATAAAAGGAAAAGAACACCGGCTCCCAGGAAGACATAGGTACCCCCGACCCAGGGAGGGGTCTCAGCCCTTGAGGGCCATTCCCCGCCTCTGCCAACAAGGCCTACGCCAGCCTCTCCTGCTGGGCCCGGCACCAGGAGCAGCACGATGCCACCTACACCCGCGGTTCTGCTTCCAGTTTACAGATATTACAGATGGAGGAGTGGGAGCTGGGGGCAGAGGCACCACTGGGGGCGAGTCCCCGAGACCCTGGCCGAGGTGCTCCCCCATCCTCCTGAGCTGGCAGCCTGGGCTGGGATCCAGGTGCTGCATGGGTGGCTGCCCAGTGGCGGTGGCCATGGGGGTGGGACCCCCGTGCCCCGGGGGAGCTCCAGCTGCCTCCGTGCAACTGAGCTGAAGTCCCTGCAAGGTGCTCGGGGGGAGCTCCTGCCCCAGCCAGAAGCAGGGGTCTGCGTGCCCACCTCAGTGGACAGACCACGGCCCAGGTGGGGTGGGGCTCTGCTCTCCTCTGCTCTCCTCTGCTCCCTGCTGCCCGGGGAGCTTGAAGGGTGCCTGTGTCCTCATCCGTACAAGGCAATGGAGAGAAGCATCTAGATTGGTTTCTGGGCTGCTGCAATTTCATCCAATTGAAGACATGCTGCGGGAGCCAGGCCCAGCCCTCCTCACCTGCTTCTGAGGCCTGCTGCCCTCAGGGGGTTCTCATGGGGAGGAGGGGAGGCCCTAATTAGCTGGGAATGCTGGGCAGAGGCAGAAGCTACCTCATTCCATCCTGGGAACTCCAGGTGCTGGCAGCGAAGGGAGGGGTTCTCAGAGGAACCTGCAAGTGACATGGGAAGGGCCCCCGGCCAGGCCCAGCCTATGCAGAGGTATGGAGGGGAAGGCAGCTGATACCAAACAGCTGTCCTGGGGTCTGCCCATCCCAGGCGCCTGCGAACACCCCCCACGTCCCCTGCTACACCAGGAGGCGGAGAGGAGTAAGTGGTAACCCCAGAGGGTGCAAGTGACACTCCCAAGGTCACCCAGCCAAGAAGTTGGAAAGCCTGACTCCAATGCCGGCATCCAGCACCAGGTCTGTGCTGTCTACTGCAGTGACCCCGCCACCGTGACTGTGGCTGCCGCCGCCTGAAATGTGGCTTGGCCCCCCAGACGTAAGCTGTAACTGCAGAGCTTGCGCCGGGGTTCAGAAGACCGAATGAAAGACAAGAGCAACACAGCCCGTCAACAGCCTTTATGTTTGATCACATGTCGAGTTAGTTCAATATATTGGGTTGAGTGAGGTATATTAATTCATTTCACTTATTTCTTTTCACTTTTCCAATGCGGCCCCTAGAAATATTTAAGTTATACATGTGGCCTGCATGATACTCTTTTCGGCCAGAGCTTGTCTACACCACAGAGAGAAAGGGATGGGGTGGATTTAAAGAAAGAGAATGAACTCCTCTTGATCTTGGATGAGGGAGCCAAGGCCACCCAGCAAGGGCCTCAGGGGCCAGGTGGGTAGCCACCCGGGGTGGGGCTGCATCCCCCCCTCCTGAGTCCCTGCCCCTCCGGCCAGCAACAGGTGGACTCGGTCTGAGGATGACCACTCCCCTGCCCTCCCTGCCATCCTCCAAACACACCAAGCTGTAGTCGTTGTCATGGAGACGGTACATCTTCCTAAAAGCTGAACTTGGGTGCAGGGGCGTGGGGGAGCCTGCCACAAAATAGAGGGAGAGGGAGCCAGGCTTATCCGGAGAGGAAATCTGCGTGTGGGGGAGGGGCAGGGCTTGGGCCTGGGCTTGGCCTCCCGGAGGGATGCACAGCCCGGCTGCTGTTTGCACAGGGCCTTCCGGGCCTTCCTCCCTGCCACCCCAACGCCCCTCCCAGCCACCACCTCCATCCCCACTTGCCGATTTACTCAAAATCTCATATCTCATGCTCCCATGCGGACTCTGCGACCCAAGGAGGTCTGGGGGCAGATAAGCTCAGGCCTCCCAGAGCCCACCCCTCCCCTCAGTCCCCGGCAGAGTCAGTGTAATGGGGGGGGAGGGATGCAGTCTGGGGCCAGTGTAAGTGCTACAACGCCAGGAGCGGCACCGTTCATGGTCCGACTGAAAGGTGGGGGATCTGTTCCCAGCCCCAGGCTTGCTGGTGGCCCTCCTCTGCACGCCCCAGACCATCCTGGACACAGGCTGCATGGGGCCTCCATCTCATCTGTATACACAAGTCCATTTTGCACTGACCATTCATCCCCAGCACTCTTCTGACTTCTCCCCGTGTTAGGGTGACACCTTGGCTCCCAGGTCGTGGGCAGCATGGCGTGTGCAGGACACGGGCTGCTACCCTTGGGTGGTCCTGAGTGTTCCTGCTCAGCAGACCAGACACAGCCTCCTGGTCACAGCCCAGCTCAGACACTGCTGCCACCGGCCACCGGTACCCATTTCCAACTCCCCGCAGCAGAACACAGAGCCAAGGGGTTTAGAAAGCGGGATGGTGTGGGGGTGGGGGGTGCTCCACTGGAGTTCTTCCCTTCTACTTGACACAAAATCCTGCTCAACAGAGGATGCTGAGACCAGGAGAAGGGAAGGGGACCCAGGTGGCACATGGCTGACCCAGGGTCCTCCTCTTCTCCCAGTAGCTACAAAGTTCTCTTTACAGATTGTCCAAAATTCCTTTTTTTTTTTTTTTTTCAGTTGTTCCAGATTTTGCTAAGCTGTGGTTAGGCAGGTTCTGGGCCAGTGAGCTATGTACAGTCTCTGCTCTCCATGGGAGCCCCCCCCCCCCCGGCCCCCTGCCAGCCTGGCCAGAGGGCTTTTCTCTCAAGGTTACACCTGGAGGCAGCTCAGTCCCCGGAAACGCCCCGCTCCCAGATCCCTGAAAACTGGGGGAGGGGGAGTGAGCCCCCGGAACCCCAGAACCTCAGTCCACTGCCTGGCAAACTGGGACGCAGACCCGAACGCAAGCTGAGACTGGCCCAAGGTCACACACCAGGCAAACGAGCGGCACATCTGGGACTAGAAACCAGCTAGTCAGTCTATCGACCCCTACCCCATCCGCAGGGATGCCCGCACGGGACGAGACGGCCCCTTGGCAGCCCCACGGCCCGAGCCCTACCCCAGGCTCCAAGCGCCAGGGAGCAGGGGGAGGCGTCCTCAGGCCCCGAGCCAGGGCCAGCTGCAAACCGCATCCCGGGTCCCCAGGCGCCGCGGACCCGCCCCGCCCCTCCCTCCGCTCCCGCAGCCCCGAGCCTTTGTCAGCCACGCGCTCACACGGATCCGGCCGCCCGCGCGCACCCGGCTCCCCGCGCACACCCGCAAGGGGCGCGCGCACCCGCCGCTTGCACGCAGGGGAGAGCGGGCGGCGGAGGAAGGAAGGAACTGCCCCGCCGCGGCCCGACACACCGCCTTGGCTGGGGGAAGGGGAAGGGGAAGGGAGGCCTGGGAACCTGAGGCTGGAGCGGGAGGGGCGCGGAGGGGACTGTCGGAGAGCAGGACAACGGATGGGCCGTCAAGGGCTGGCGAGGACGCGCGGGCTACTCCAGGGATGGGGACTCCTCCAAGCCCTGGCCCTGTGGGGCGGAGGGAGTGCAGGGGGCGGTCCCCGGGTTGGGCCCGCGATTCCCCGGGCATCCTTGCCCCGCTGCGTCCGGGCAGAAGGCCCTGAGACCCCGACGGAAGGCTGAATACCGGAGGCCCCGGGACCAGAGGCTTCCCGGGGTTCCTCCAGGCGCGGGGGGGGGGTTCTCGGGCTGGGCGGGGCACCCGCTCACCTGCCACGGTGTACCTGTCCAGGTAGTTGAGCACGTTGCCCAAGCTGAGGATGGCGGCGGCGGCCCCGCGCCCGCGGCCCGAGCTGGCGGGTTTGGGCTGTTGAGCGCCGGGGCCCTTGGCAGCGGCTGCGCAGCCGGGGGCGCCGGGGGGTCCAGACGGGGCCCGCCTCACGCTGCCCGACAGCGTCTGCACCTCGTCGTCGGCCACCGCCGCGCCAGCAGCGCCCACCGCCCGCGCCCCGCAGCAGCCGCCGCCTCCAGCCCCTCGCTGCGCCCCCCGGCGCCGGCGCCGCCGCTCAGCGTCCGCCTCCTCCTCCTCCGCGCCGCCCGCCGCCGCCGAGGCGCATTCCAGGCACATCATGCCTGCCGGGGCGGGGGCCGGGGCCGGGGCCGGGGCGGCGGGGGGCGCGGGGGGCGCGGGGCGCAGCCCAGGAGCCCTCAGTGCGCGCGCGCGCCGCGGAGCCGCCTCTGCACCATCCCGGCCAGCCGTCGGCTCCTGCGCTCCGGCCCGCGATCCGCGCTGCGCCGCCGCCGCTCTGACAGCTGCGGCCCGGCCCGCCCGGCCCGCCCCGCCCCCAGCCGGCGCCCAATCGCGAGCGGCTCAGCCGCGGCCCCGCCCCGCACGTGCTGCCCGGGGCCGCCGACGGGGGCGCAGTGGGTCGCGCGGCCCTGGGGCAGGGGCCGGGACTCCCCCGCTGCCCCCCGCTGCCCCCCGCTGCCCCGGCGCGGAGGGGCTCGGGGCTGGGGGCGCGAGGAGGGGCTCCGGGGGCGCGCAGGGAGGGCCCGGAGCCAGTGTTCCCCATCGCCCCCCACTGGCTCCCACTGCCAGAGCGCGGAAGGGCTTGGGCGGACGCGGGGAGGGGCGCCGGGAGGGGCGCGGGGAGGGCCCGGCCCAGGGCGGGCGGCGGGCGGCGTCCGGGAGACCGGAGAGGGTCTCTGCGGGCGCGTGGGGTGCCTGCCCTGAGGGCACCCACCCGGAGAGCCTGAAGATGACCGCTGGGGGCTTGCCCAGTCCCCAGGCCTCTGCCCCGGGGAGACCCAGATCCAGCGCTGACTTCTCCCAGGTCCCATTCCTATGTGCGCTCTGAGACCCTCCCCAGGTTCCCGTGGGGGCCCCCAGAAACACTGCGTCCACAGGGGCCTCCCCAATCTTCAGACCTGCGGCTGCATGCCAGGGAAGGGACAAAGCCCTGAAAGGAAGACCCCGGGCAGACCCCTCACTCTCTCTAGGACTCAGTGCCTCTCCTGGGGTTGACAGGAGGCCAGGATTCAGTTGGGAAGCCTATGAGTGGTCACCACCTGCTATGGAGGAGGGCAAGTCTGCGTCTGTGGCTGGTGGTTGAGTAGCTTCTGTGTCAAGGGCCACAGTCCCTGCCCTCCCCCATCTCAGGGGTGCTATGGTCCTGTGTCCCCCTTCATCTGTTTGAGGCTTCGAAATTAAAATCCCATACAAAGGGACATCTCGGTGGCTCAGTGGTTGAGCGTCTGCCTTTGGCTCAGGGCATGACCCCGGGGTCCTGGGAACGAGTCCTGTATCGGGCTCCCCGCAGGGAGCCTGCTTCTCCCTCTGCTTGCATCTCTGCCTTGTTCTCTGAGTTTCTCATGAATAAATAAATAAAATCTTAAAAAAAAATAAACTCCCATACAAAGTGCTGAGGATAAAATGTCAGCACCATGTAGAGCCTGCAAACCCAGGGTTACCCCCATGTTCCACAGACCCATCCCAGGGCCCAGAAGATACCCCGTTGTGGACATGCAGCAGGTTGGCAGGGTTGGTGCTGACCTGGGGCTCTGAAGCTACCCTCCTGGGCTGGGGGTTCAGTTCCCATTGCAGGATGTTCTGTACCCAGAGTCCACAGGCAGGTGTGTCCCATAAAATTGCTGGTCACGGTCTCGGCATAGCCATGGGGGGATGAAGCACGAGGCATCCCTCCCTGCTGAGAGCAGAATTAATCCCCACACTGGTGTTTCTTGGCGCCTTGGAGGTGTGTTGGGTACAGCCAACGGTCATGGGGAGGCCAGGAAACAGATCCCATCCTGAATGTTCCTTGCTGCCTCCTCCCAGATGGCAGCCAGGTGAGGGAAGTTCTCGTGGGTGCCCTGGGACGACAGGTGCTCAGTAGGCCAGCACAGGCCTAGGAGCTCCACAGGCCTGGGGCTGGGCCCTGGCAATGCCCCTCAGAACTGCGGGGTGGTGCCAGCAAGGGGACAGCCCCTGCGGTGGGGCTCTGTCCAGCTGTGGTGGAGACACAGCCATGGCTCTAAGCTCAACCCCAGGGACCCCTTCCCAGTCGCCAAAATTCCTCCTCCATTCAGCCATAGCTCTGCCCAGGGAGACGGTTTCACACTTGGTCAGAAAGGGGGGCACTCCCTTTCCAGCTGCCAGTAGACCCAGAGCAGGGGAAGAGGTCAGAGTTTTCAAATCTGGTGTGTGCAGGGGGGGGGGGTTCTCTGAGCAGCTATTCTTACTGTGTGGGCTCTTCTGGGATTTTAACTCAAGGACAGTCTGTAGAGCAAGTCTCTGGATGGATCCTGGGCCACCGAGGCCGGGATGGCAGCCCTTTGTGACTGTGTGGCCCTGGGCAAGTCACTGTGGTCCCCCAAGAGTTTCTGGCAGTGTCATGGGACCATCAGCCCTAAGACTTGTAGGATCCTTATGTCCATCTCACCGGGGAAGAAGCCAAGGCCCGGGGCAGAGAAGGTCACAGATCTGGTCAATGGCAGGACTCACACAGAACCCTGGTACGCCTGCCCCTGACGCGGCGTGTCCTGTGCCACCCCACGACACTGCCCTGGGCTCTGCTGGGACTCAGCTTCTCAGCAGCCCCATCCGGGTGGCTCTGACCTCAGTGATGGCTAAAGGCCTTCAGTGTTCACTTGTGGCGCCTGGACAGTGGGCACCGGACATTACTGGCTGGTATTCCAAAGGCAAGTGTATTTAGGAAGTGATGGGACAAGCACAGAAGACTAGGCCTTTTGGAGCCTTGGGCCTGAGGGCATACATGGAGCGTCCTGGGAGGAGGCACAGGCTGCTGTGTCCCTGTGTGAACCTGACTGCAGCACATCCTGTGAGGTGTCTGGAGTGTTGCGACCCCCTCAGGAACACCAGCGTCCCCAGGCTGCCGACTGGGAGCTCAGGCCTCGGACTTTGTCCTTCTGGGGCACGCAGCTCTCAGCAACCATACCCGGGCCCTGGATGCCCCGACGTCCACCTCTAGACGTGCCCCCCCCCCCCGCCAAGGCCCATGTGCATGTCTCCCCCGTGGGTTCTCCCACAGCTCCCTAAACTTAGCTCAGTCGGAACTAAGGCCTGCTCCACCCTGCATCATTTATCTCTTGGCAAACAGCACTATCACCCACATGGTCACTGAACATGAGGCCACCTGAGATTCCTCCCCCAACAACCCCATCCAGGGCTTGTCCACTTTTTCGCTTTAGAATCCCAGGGTCCCCGTCACTCACTGACTCGGCTCAAACCTCTGCGGGTCTTAACCTTTGTAAAACTCAACACCAGCTGCCCCAACATCCCCCTCCCCATCTTTTCTCCATATTTCTGGCCAATAACTTCCTAAATCCCACCCATGACCGCATCAATACCTTGCACACAACCTTCCCACAGCCTCCCAGTGCCCACGGGGTAAAAATACCTAAACCTCTTAATGCCATCTGCAGGACCCATCATAGCCCAACCCATGCCAGTCTGCAGCCTCAGATCCACGCCCCTGAAAACAGAGCTCCCTGAACCCACAGGGATCACACTTTCTGGAGCTGGGGGGAGGGTGACGGGAATTGGGGTGCCATGTCTAGAGACCCTGCTCTCCCCACAATGCAGTGATGTTCAGGACCACGGAGAGCAGCACCCAGGAGCCCCCTCCCCTGCGCTTGGCCACCTCTGTCCAGGGGAGGGGGTTGGCCCAGCTCTCGCCTCCCACTGCCCCTCAAACACACAACGCAGCCCTCCTTGATCTACCTGAAAAATTTTCATTTCCTCCTCCGGCCACTTGAGCAAACTGGGCACGCCTCCTTCATGCCAAACTCATTGCGTTGATCATGTTTGTACATCAGCACCCCCACCCACCCTCCCCACCCACCATCCATGAGTCTTGGGGGGGCTGATCTATCTGCACAGCCCAGTGCAGGGGAGGTGCTCAGAGAGTGTTTGTTGATTGAATGAGTAAATGACATTTAGCAGGTGCTCAGGAAGTGTGTGCAGATTTGCATCACGTCCCTGTTGCCCCAGTGACTCAGAAGCCAGCCAGATTCCTCTCCTGGCCCCTCTGGAAAAGGCGTTTTGTCCCTGACTGCCTCCCCACGTTGCTTACCTTCCCCATGGGTCAGCAGGTCAGTGGCTGCTGGCCCTAGGGAGACAGCGCCCCCCTTGGGTCCTGCGCTCACCAAGCATCCCCTGAGCCTGGGTGCACTGTGTCAGTTCTGCTCCAAATGCTCCGTCCCTGCCTCTCCCTCCTGCTCAGAACAGATGGCTCTGGGTGCCCGCGAACACAGAAGTTCCTGTTCTGTCATTCGAACATTTTTTAACGCTTTCTGAATTAGAGAAGTGTCAGTCTCCTCTGATGGTGGACTCAGACTGATGGAAACAAAGGCTCCCTTCAAGGAAACTGAACCCGGTTTCTTCCTGGTCATGCCGCCGGGACCAGCCGCCCGCCCCAGCTCTTGCAGTGGTAACCGTCTTTGTTTTTGTCTGTTTTTCTTCCATTGCTGTTCTGTTTGGATATTCAGAGTCCACCCCCTTCCCAGTAGCACCCTGGCTTTCTGGGCCTGACGGCGCTAAAAATCCAGGCAGGGCCATCGGGTCCAACGGGACCCTCTTGTCCCAGGGTTTAAATCTTGAGGAGGGCGGCAAGAAGATACGGAGAATCACCTGGCACTTTGGTGAAGGTCCCCAGAAGACAGCCCCGGGTCTGGCCCCAAATCGGCATCATCCCCAGCAATTCTGTGAGCTCCCAACATGCTTCCAACAAGTCCCTCTGTTGCCCGAGGTGGCTACTCGGTGTCCTGTGCATGCAACCCCACAACCCCACAGAGTCACACAGGAGGAGTACATGGGGCCGGGCAGCTTCCTGCATGGGCTGAGCTTGGCACCACGGCCTCCCGCCCACTCGGTCCCTAAAGCTTGCGTTAAACCCAAAACTTCACATTCCCACTGTGCAGTGGAGGACAGATGGGCAGACGCTCCAGGGAGTGAGCCGCATCTGGTGCTGCGGGGGGATGAGCCAGGGCTAGAGTGACCCCTCCCCACGAGTGCGCTCCACCTTCCAGGCCTGGGGTCGGAGGAGAGCCCAGCTGTAACCACGGCTGCACACCCTCACACGCGGACTCAGAAGCAAGCACACTCGGGCACACCTGCATGCTGGGATGAATGCTGGGAGCTGGAATGCACGTGGCGTCTGTTGGGGAAGAGCAGTAAACATACTGAATGGGTGGGGTGGGCGTGAGGGCCTGTCCTGCTGAGCCGTGCGCCTGACATGCGGACCCACTAAGAGCATCAGACCTGGGATCCCTGGGTGGCGCAGCGGTTTGGCGCTTGCCTTTGGCCCAGGGCGCGATCCTGGAGATCCGGGATCGAATCCCACGTCGGGCTCCCGGTGCATGGAGCCTGCTTCTCCCTCTGCCTGTGTCTCTGCCTCTCTCTCTCTCTCTCTCTCTCTCTGTCTCTCTCTCTGTCTCTCTGTGACTATCATAAATAAATAAAAATTAAAAAAAAAAAAGAGCATCAGACCTGGGATCGTCGGCCGCCAGGTGTGATGCATGGACCAGCCTCCCCCTGCCACGGGGGCCTGCGCGCTGGGCCCTACAGGATGCACACCTGCTGCCAAGGGCAGGGGCTCAAGGGGCCGCCCAGCGAGGCAGGGGTGCTGGGAGCATGAGCAGAGCCGGGGAGCACCACTCACACAGCAGACCTGGTCTCTCCCTCCCACAGTCCACAGGCCCTGCCCTGGGGGAAGCGCCCTGGGAGTTCCTGGGTGTACACTGTGTCCAGCTGGGCCCAGTGAGCCCCACCCGGCCCGCCCAGCGACCCAAACACCAGGAGGCTGTGACTCAGGAGAAACCACCCTGGTTCCGGATTCCAGCCCCAGCTCCTCAGCCGCTCAAGCCCCTGGTCCCTGCCAGTCTCTCCTGCCCCAGAGCACACTCCCCTCCAGGGGCAAGGACACCTTCTGCCCCCCACACCTGCTCTTTGCTGGCTCCCCCCCACACCTGCTCAGAGGGGGCTCCTGGGGGGCATCAAGGGCTCCTGGGAGGTAGCAGGGACTCCTGGGGGGCAGCAGGGGCTTACTGGAGGCATGGAGGGGGCTCCTGGGGCCATGGGGGCAGGGGGCTCCTGGGAGACAGTGGGGGCTCCTGGGGGCTTGTTGGAGGCACGGAGGGGGCTCCTGGGGGGTAGTGGGGGGGCTCTGGGGGCCAGAACCCCTCCATATGCCCACAGCTGTGCCTCACTCAGCCTGCTGCTCTCTGCCCTGTGTTGGGCTGCGAGGTCCAAGGCCAGGGTCGGAATCAGAGTCGCGGCTCAGCACCTGATTCTGGAACCTGCACGTATGGGGTTTCTGACCTTTCGCCCCCTCCCCCCCCCTGCTGCTGGGCTCTGGGGTGGCAGGGGGAGTGGCTGTTCTGAGTTCTGGGAACCCTCGCCCATCTCCTAGGAACTGAGCCTGTCAGGGGTCCAGGGACCCTGGGGCAGGTTTTCTGAGGGCTGGATCCAGGCTTCGAAAACCCCACAGTGAGGGTTGGGAAGGCCACAGTCATCACCCCTGACACACAGCCAGTGGTGCTGAGTGGGACAAGGCATTCTGGCACCCTGCACAGACCAGGTGTCCCCCCAGGAGGAGCAAGTGTGGTCCTGGGATCTACACGTGTGTTTCATCATCCTTTTTTCATACCGAGCTCCTGAACCCCCAGAATGTCCTAAATCCTGGTACAGAGACCCCAAAAGTGTCTTTTGTTTGTTAGCGAGGTGGCACTGGGACCCCAGTAAGGGGGCTGGTGGCAGGAGAACCACCCCCGGTCTGCCTCCTGACCTCTGGGTACCGACAGGGGGCAGGAGGTCGAATCAATCACCTGCGACCAATGGTTTAATCAATCATCAATCGTGTCTGAGTAATGAAGCCTCAGTAGGAGCCAAGAAGGACAGAGTGAGCCCGGGGGGTGCTGGCCGGGCCCTGGGGAGGGTGTGGCGGCGCTGCCCCTTCCCTGCACCTCGTCCTGGGCATCTCTCCACCCACTGCTCCCAAGTCGTGTCCTCTTATAATAATCCGAGGATGAGGCCTATGATCTGCTCCCACTGACACATCAACCTGGGGATGCGGTCATGGGAACCTCCAATTTGGAGCCATTTGGTCAGAAGAACGGGTAACAGCTGACTTCCTCCTGGGGTCAGACGCAGGGGTGGAGGCGGCCTGTAGGATGGAGCCCTTACCCTGTGGACTCTGACCCTACCTCCACGGACACAGTTGAGGGCTGGAGAGCTAGCTGGTGCCAGAGGCCTGCTGGGGGTGGGTGGGAACCCCATGGTCATGGTTATAGGGCACAGTTCCCTTACCAAGCAGGCCTTTCCTTCTAATTTCAGGGATACATGGCAAACTGTGGGTGGGGGGCTGGTCCTCCTGGGGCAGCCACTCCTGAAGAAGGGCTGAAACAGGTTTAGGGAGCAGGGGGGTGCTGGGCGGGAGAGTCCAGCTCTGGGAGCTTGGCCATTCGCAGTCAGGGCAGGGAGGAGGGACGAAGCAGATAGGGATCCAGAGGTAAGCGTAAGCCTGGTGGCCGCTCAGCCCACAGCTGCAGGGAGGCCCCGGGGTGGGGGTGGGGGGGACACTTGTGCTCACGGCGTAGAGAGAACACGCTTCCCCACTGCTGCCCACCTGGACACTGCTGGGGCCCTGCAGGCCTGCTGCTCTGAACCCAGCAGGCGGCAAGTGTGAGTCCCACAGAGCCAGCTGTCCCCGTGCGCCCAGTGGGATCGGGTGTAAGCAGCGGTGGTGGGGGGCGGTAGGGAGCGAGTACCACCTCCTCCAGGAGCCCGTGTGGAAACCTCTGTCAGAGACTGCCGGGTGGCCCCCACCTGCCCCACCTCTTGTTTGGAGGGTGGCTCAGGCCAAAGGGCGTCCTGCGGCCTCCTGACCTGCAGGAGGAGGGATGGAGGGGCCCAGGGCAGGGCCTCCCAGAGACCCTTGCGGAGGAGCCACCCTGTGCCCCCCGGGGCTGCCCATCGCTTCCCCACCTGCCCCCACTCCCAGCAAAGACACCTTGAGGGGCAGATAACAGGTGGTGAAAGGCCAACACTCTTGCACTTTGCACTGACCACACTTTAATCAGACCCAGGGGCCAGTGGGCCAAGGACCCCAGACAGCGGACAGAAGGGATGGCAGGGACGGAGGGGACAGCTTTAGCCCCAACCCAGCCTCGGCACTGCTGGCTCCCCCAGGGGGCAGCAGGTGCAGCCAAAGGAAGGGGTGCGGCCTGGTGAGCACGGGCTGCGCAGGGGCCGAGGTCTCAGGGTGCCTCTGGGACGACCCGTGGGTGGGAAAGCAGGGCTCGGCTCTCCTCCTTGGTGCTGTCGGGGGTCCCTGTGGAAGGAAAAACACTCGGCCAGCCGCAGGGAATGCGCATGGCACCTTGGCCCCAGGCCCGCACGGTCCTCACCTCCACTCTCAAGACAGACTCCAGGACCGACCACCTCCCCGCACCTCGCTGGCCAGCACCCAGGTCCGCCCCCTACTCCCGGTGATGCCAAGCCTCCCGTGGCCCCACCGCCCTCCCAGCCCCAGTCTGCTCTCCACACAGCAGTCACATTCTAGATAAAATGCCCGGACCGTCTGCAGACACGACACATGGGCTCTGTCTCCAAGCAAGGCCGCAGTCCCTATAAGGCCCCGCGACTCCCTGCTGTGGCCCCATCACCACTGCCCTCGCCCCTCCCTCTGGCCCCACAATCCACCGGCCTCCCTGCCACACCATCACCTCAGGGCCTTTGCATTCACTGTCTGCTGGGAGCCCCTGCCTCACCTCCTCCCAACCTTTACAGCCCCACAGTCGGTCACCTGCATGGAGAGGACCTTTCGAATGCCACAAGCTGCTCCCATGCATTCCTTTTCCCTACGTCACGCCTCTCCAAGACCCTGGTCCCTGTGGACTCCCGTCTCTTGCTTGTCCCATCCCTGCTCTGGAGCACGCACCCCATGAGGGCTTGGACCGGGAGCCCTGTCCCGACACCTGACGCAGAGTGGGGGTGCAATGACGGCTTCCAAGGAACCAACACAGGAGCAGACCTCCAAACCGAGCGGCTGGGGGTGCATGTGCTGCTCCCGTGAGCCTGGGCATGGGGCCTGGTGCAGGTGGGGGCGGAGTACCTGGGCTGGGCCTCCGGGCCTGAGTCTGGTCCCTCTCCAGGTGCAGTGCGGTCAGCAGGAAGCAGCCACCACCCAGGGCGATGACGAAGGCGCAGCACAGGAAGCTATGTTGCAGGCTGAGGAAGCGCTGCAGGTAGGAGTCGGGGCGTCGGGCCCGAAGGGCACTGGACACCTGCGCAGAGAGGCTGTTGTGCCCCTGCTGACCTCACACCCATCCCCGCATCCCTGTGTCCCCGCAGATGAGCGCATCCCTTACAAGTCCAGTGAGATAGGGGCTGCCGGCATCCCCCAGGATGTGGCCCGCCGTGATCTGAAGCGCCTCTGCCGTCCCCCGGCACCGGGGCAGCACCACAGACTGCAAAACACAGGAGCACAGGGCACGAGGGTGCCCCTTCATGCCCCCTCCCTGGGGATCCACCCGCGATGCCTCCTGTATGCATTCTGTAGATCTCACACATACACATCGTGCACTCACTCAACCACTCCCAGGGAGGTATGGTTATCATGCCCATGTCACAGATGAGGAAACTCTATGGGAGGCCACATAACCGCCTGGGGTCACTCGCCAGGAGACAGCAAGGCTGGGATCCCACCCTGGGCCTACCGCTCCAGGATTGACCAACAACCCCTGCCACCATGTGTTACCTGCCCGGGGTGTGTGTGGGGGGGGGCTGCCTGGTGGTTCCCTTGTGTCTGCTCCCGAACACTTGGGAGACCGAGAAGGACCAGGAGGCCACCCTCGCTCCACCCCGCCCCTGGGTCACTGATGCACAGGGAGCCGAAGGGCACTGTGGGCGGGGACCCAGTGAGCAGAGCTGTGGAGGCCAGGGAGTCGCGGGGCAGGCCGCAGGGCCTAGGGACAGGCCTCAGTCCTGTGGCTGCTCAAGGACATGGAGCCACTCTAGCTAGAGGAGCTGGACCGGCCACCAGGCCAGAGCAGGAGCTGATTGTGGCTTCGCACCGTCCCCGGTGCTGGGACTCTGCTGTGAGGGTCCAGGGCAGCCGGCTCCCCAGGACTCTGCGGTGCGGGGACAGGTGGACCCTCCAAGGGCTGAAGAGGCCAGGCTGCAGCTAAGACCCTCGGAGTCAAGTCCCTGGGACCTGGAGCCCCAGAGCAGCCCTTACGGCCAGGGCAGGAAGTGCATCCCCAACCTGCTCATCCTGTGGCCTCACAGAGCCCCGGGTGGAGGCAGGGGTGGGGGCGGCCCAGCAGGTAAGTTTAGAGGGGAGAGGCTCTGGGCTCTATTCTGGGACAAAACACCTCCGTTCCTGACTCTCCTTCCTCACAAGAGCTGCTCCATTTACAGTGGGGAGCACGACCGGCACCACCTAAGGGCCTGCAGTGTGTGGGGCAGCGACGGCAGGTGCGCAGGCCTCCCTATGTGGCCCTCACATCCCACATGCGGGGGTGGGCAGAGCAGGGCCCCGGAGACCAGGGTGGGGGCGCCTTCGGAGGAGGTAGGGGGAGCCAGGTGGCTGGATGCTGGGACCCCACAGGACAAACCCATTTCTGCGCTGTTCCTGGGGGGCACAGGGAGCTCAGCCTGGGGGGACTCCAGCCCAGCCTACTGGGGAGCAGGACCCTCCAGGACCCTCCGGGCAGGGAGGTGTGTGCGAGGGGGGCCTGGGATGTCAGGAGGCAGGTGCTTCTCAGGGCTCAGGGAGCAAGCTCCCCATCAGGGGCACGTGGGGTCAAGTCAGAGTCCTGGGAAGCTAGCTGCCCTGGACCAATGTGTCTAGGAGGCCACCTCTCACCAAGAGGCTTCTGGAAGGTGGGAAGCTGGGGGAAGGGGGGGCAGATGTCCTCTTGGGAGGGAGGGCTCACTAAGCTTTGCTGCTGGAGGCCTGTGAGCAGGGGCAGGACCGCGGGGAGCACCTGCTGTGTGGTTCTGGACAGCTGCCCCACACAGCCAGGTATGTCCAAGCACAGCCAGCAGGCCCGTCCCCCCACTTGCCCTGCCCGGCCCTCAGCACACGGCTCTACCTAGAGCCGGCTTCTGTGGGTTCATCATTCTTGCACACGCAGTCCTCACACATTTGCGGGGTGGCCACGTGTTGAAGGTCCAGGCCGTGAGGGTGCAGGGACTACAGGGGTGGCTCTCCACTCCACCGAGGCCCCGGAGATGTGGGGGTACAGGGTAGCCAGGATCCCCAGGCCTCAACGTGGCAACCCCTGGGGTTGACCTCCTGTGCTCTGGGGCTCCCCTGCCTGCTAGCCTGCCGTGCACCCTGAGGGGCCAGGTGGGATCCCTCCTCCCTACCGACCAGGAAAAAGGACTGAGGCCCTTCATTGGTGTGGGACCCAGTCTGGGCTGGAGCCGGGGTCTCATGTCTGTAGGAAAGAGCAAGGAAGACCCGCCTGCCCTGCCGCTTACCCACTCCCTGGGCATCAAAGGGCAGCTTGTCCACACCCACTGAGCCTGGGCGGTCTACACAGGGAGTGAGCCCCCCATCAATGACAGTATTCAAGCTGCCCTTGATGGCTAAGATGAGGACAGCTCCCCCAGGAGCCAGAGGACAGGACCGAGGAGAGCCCTGGGAGGCGCCCCGACCAAACCCTCGTGCCACTCATTCCACACTCACGATAACCCTCAGGTATGTCCCCCTGTCGTCCACACGGGGAGACCAAGGCCCAGGGACACAGAGTGATTTGCCCACGTCCTGCGCAGCTGGCAGGTGGTGGAAGCCCATGTGAGCCTCCCACTCTGCACAGGCCCCAGGCTCCCCAGGTCCCCTGCGCAGCACTGGCAATGCCAGCCTCCCAGGAGGCAGGAGGAGGGCTCGTGGGTCCCCCAGCCCATCCACACACCCAGAGCACAGGCCAAAGGAAAATGCAGGCGAGAGAGGGGGCGGGCTGGAAGTGGGAGCCCTGGAGTCACAGTGCTTGGGCCTGTAGATGTTGTGTGACCTCGGGGCAGGCATCTGCCCTCTCTGAGCTGCAGACTGTAGGTGGACAGGGGATGTTGGAGCGCATCAGGAAGGTCTGGTCCCAGGTAACTGTTGAGTGAGCCTGGCCTCCTGCCCCCTGGTCTCTGAAGCGCCCCCTAGTCCTGACCTGGATATCCTTGGGTTCCCTCCGCTCCAGGGGAACCAGCCCCACACACCTACCAGCAGGATTTCGGCAACCACGGCCCAGTTGCAGGACAGAAGCAGCTCCCCAAGCGCCAGGAACACCTGTGGACAAGGGCGAGCGTCACCCTCCTTCCTGCGACCTGCTGTCCTGCCTGCAGAGAGGCAAGGGCAGCGTGACTGTGTGGGGGTGAGACCCTCAGGTCACCTCAGTTCCAGCAGCGCCCCAGCTGCGCAGACATCCCCGCCAGGGCGGTGGGGGCGGAGGGGCAGGCTGGCAGCCGTGACCTGAAAGACAGTGCCAGGCCTGACCCGGGAATGGCCCCCTCCCCGATGGACTGCCCCAGGCCCAGGCCTTGAGAGCTCTTGGGGGCCCAGGAGGAGGCGGCCTGACGTCCAGGCCACTGGGAAGCTGGGGAGACAGACTCCAAGGGACAAAGGCCCAGGGGCTGCAGAGCCCCTCCCCCAAAACCCTCCGTGTTCCCTCCAGGCCTGTGCATGCAAATGCTGCACCCGCTCTGTCCAGCCACCTGCCTGGCCTGGGCCCTGTCCCTCCCAGACATGTTTGCCTGAGATCACCAGCCCCGCCCAGGACTTCCAGTCCCCGTCCAGCACCAGCCCCCTGTGCTGCCCCAGTATCCGCTGGGCACTCAAGGCCACCGTGGACCCCTTGTGCCCAGAACCCCCTGCCTCATGCCAGGGGATTAGGACAATCCTCATTCCACTCACTCAGGAAGAGTTTACAGAGTAGCAAGAAGGGGAAAGAGTCACTTCTCAGAGCTTCCAGGAGCTTATTGCTGGAGAGGAATTAATCATTCCCACAGTCACGGGACCATGCCACAGCCCACGCTGGTTCCCCAAGGCCTGCGGACATGGGGGGAGGGAGCAGGGGGGACAGGGGGGGGCTGTCCACTCCTGCCGGTCTCCCCTCTGCGCCATGGGCCAGGCCCTCACACCAGCCATGTCCCATCCCGGGAGCCCTCAGGCCTGCAGCCCACCCTGCGCACCGAGTGAGGCCCGGAGGGAGGTCAGAGGAGAGCCCTGGACCCCCGTCAGGGAGGGCCTGGGGGGCGCTGAGCTGATCCTGGGGAGGGTCCCTCAGGAGGCAGGGAGCTGGACTGCAGGCGCAGGCGCGCTAGGCTGGAGGCAGCCGTGAGCTCCTCCCACGAACCTGCCCCCCCAGGCCCTCGGGCCACACGGACAGACGGAGGGAGGCGCTGTGCGGGCAGCACCAGGCGGGATCAGGAAGCCACCTCAGTTCGGTCCACACAGGCCTGCATTCCAACCCCACCGGGTCTGACAAGCCGCCTGGGGGGCGGGGCGGGGGATTGGGCCTGCCTCCTCCCGGCCCCCTGCACCCCTCTCCCTCCCCTCCCTGCCCTCCTTCCCCCCCTTCCCCACCCCACCACTTCCGCCTCCACCTGGCCCATGGCCCCTCCCTCACACCCGGGCCAGGGGCGGCGGTCAGTCGCAGTTCTGCATCCCCTGCCACCCACGTCCAGCGGACAGACCGGAATACACCTCTTCCTTCCTCCAGCTGCAGAGGGTGGATCCCAACCCGAAATAGAGCCCGCAGGCCCCGGGGATGCTGAGGCCGGAGAGCACCTGGAGACCAGCGCGGGCATCCTCCGCGGCGGCAGGGTGACGGCCCTGTAATTACACTGGCTCCCAAGGCGCCACGGCCCCAGGACGGCGCCCCCCACCCCCGCCCTGCCCCGCGCTGCCCCGTGGCCCTGGCTGGGTCACCCCTCTGGGCCTGGCTTCCCTGAACTGCATGGCTGAGAGCCAGGTGCCTCCCACGGCCTGTGCTTCTGCCCCCACCCTTCCCCGAGTCCCCACCCGAAAGGGCCTTGGTTTGGGGCCCTGTCCCCAGGAGGAGCGGGCTGGGCTGTTCAGAGCTGGGGCAGCCGGGCACTCCTGGATGCCCTCCCATGCCCAGCCAGGCCCCCAGCCCCTCTCCTGTGGGCTGGACCGCTGTGCTCACCCAGGGTGACCCCCACACAGGCAGGGGTCCCCCAAGCTGCCATCCATCCCGCAGCCTAACTGCTCAGATGGCCCCCTCCTCCTGTCCAGCCTGTGGGTGCCTCCCTTCCCTCAGCAGCAGGCTCCCAGGCCCCTCCCGGCCCCCCCCCGGGGGGACTTCCAGCGGGGAACTCTGTCTCTGTCCCCTCATCCCTGCTCCATGGGTGAGAGGGCCTGGGAACGCTGGGCGGGAGCCTGAGAAACATGGAGCCCCTCAGCCCCTGGCCCCCGTGCCTCAGATCTAGAGGATGTCCCCCTGGAGCCAGGGCGGCCACGAGGAATATTCCTGGCCTTAGTCACTCCAGCCACGAACAGTCAGACTGTGACTCATGCCCTCATACTCACATATGCTGCACAAGCATGTGGGCCCCCCACGTGTGCAGGTTCACACAGCACCTCATAACCTGGACACACAGCCCTTGCACACAAGTATATGCATGTGCAGCCAACAGGGGTGCCCCTCAACCTGACCACGTGTGGCAGATGCCAGCCAGCCAGCGGCACACACACTGTACGAGCCTGCAGAGTGAATGGGTGTGTATGCGTGTGCTCTCATGAGTCACACCCTCGTGCTCATGCACACACTCACCTCGCACACACCTCTCCTCAGGTGCACCTGCACACACAGGTGGGCGGGAGGGAGCACGGAGCACCCTCCCCAGAGAAGGCTCAGCCCCAGTGACGGGTGGTGGGAGGGGCCCAGGCACCCAGCCAGCAGGAACTCATCTCTGACCCCCTGGCCTGGCAAACATCCCCCCTGGGCCAGGGGAGCCCCGGACAGAACTCAGACCCCATCCTCCCCTTCCTGGGATCAACCCCATGCCCAGGGTGGCTGAGCCAGTCAGGACAGGCTCTGGCACAGACTGGCCGCCAGCAAGCTGCCATGCTGGCTGGCACACTCGGCCCCTTGGCCTGCCAACCGGTAATTTTAGGGACTGGCTTTAGGGCGTGGGGTACCACTCCAGTCCCTGGGGCTGGCAGCGTGGCGGCGGCCTGGTAGGCAGGCAGGTGGGGAGCGAGGCAGTGAGGAGGCTGGTTCTGGCGTCTGCCTGGAAAACTCAGCAGACTGCGGCCTCCTGGGTGGGCCTTCCTGCCCATCTGAGCAGAGACACCTGCTAGATCCTGGCAGGGAGGTACAGCCCTCAGGAAGGGCGGGTGGGCCTCCCTGGGTCCCTCTGAGGCAGCCCCTGGCAAAGTTAATCACCCCAAGATGTACGAGTTGAAGAAGCCCCCTAGGACCAAGTGGTAGGAGAACCCCCTCCCCCAGAGGCAGAGTGCCTGCGCAGCCCAACCATCTAGGCTACTCCAGGGGTCAGAGAGCAGGTGCCACGGCCACCCCGGGATCCTTCGCTGGCCCTGACCACAGCCATGGTGGGCACATGTCCTGGCCAACCTCTGGCCTCCTCACGAGTCCCCCATGGGCTCAGGGGACCTCTGGGCTGAGGAGAGAAGCATCCACCCCCAGAGACAAAGGCTCTGATGATGGCTGAGCTGGCTCTCTTGGCGGCCGGGGCAGGGGTGGACAGAGACATAGAACTAGGGTCTAGTTTGGGCTGGAGAGGGCCTCACAGGTCATCCAGGGTGACTGCTGTGTGAAGACAGAGGGCGATCGCATTGCAGACTTCCCTTCTCCCCAAAAGTAAAAAATAGTAAGTCAGAAAAAAACGGTTTTTCAGCAAAGAACAGAACAAAACTTAATGAGATGAACATTATGTTTGGCAGCCAAGGGAGGGGCCAAACAATTCAGTACAGACCTCGGCTTGCCTTCCCCACAGCCCCACAGCCAGAGGGATATAAGCTGGGTGAGCCCCATTGGAATGGAGATCCAATGGGATGGCTGCTGTGGAGAGATGGGGGAAAGTGGACACGCTGAGCAGTGACCCTGTCACTGGGGCCGCTTGGGGTCAGAGGGGTTCATCCTGGATCCAAGTAGACAGGGCCCTGTGTGTGCAGAGCCTTTCCTGCCCCAGGGGACCACAGGGCCTGAGGCTCCAACCAGCACTCCTCTCACCCGACCCCAACCCCAGCCAACCCTGACCCCAACCCCAACCTGACCCAGCCCCAGTGAGACCCCAGCCCCAGTGTGCAGCATCATCAAGGGCTGAGCCACCCCACGGTGTCAAACCTAATTCAGCACCGGACCAGAGTGGCCCACACTCCACGCTCAGGCCCAGCTCAGAGGACAGAGCAGGAATGAGAAGGGCAGAGATCGCCGGGACTCCCCTATCCATAGGTCCAGCTGTTGCCTTCCCCACCCACTGAATTGGAGGCCTGAGCTGCCCACAGCAGAGCCCCACATGGCGAGCTCCAGCAGCGAGGAACCAGCCACACACACAGTCTGCGTGACACCCATGGCTACCAGTGAGCTCAGAAGTCGTCCCACCTCATTGGGCCTTCAGATAACACCACAGACCCTGAACCAACACCGACCACGGCCTGGAGAGGCTGTGAAGTGGAAGGTCCACCCAGGCCCAGCCCAGCTCCTGACCCCAGAGGGTGAGACGGTCGTGTGTTGCCTTAAACTGCTAAGTTTGGGGATGACTTGTCTTGAGATAACTCATGCCTGGGACGCGCCATCAAATTTCAAGACTAATAACGAAATCTGTAGGTATCCAGATGGAAAAAAATGAGTCAACGGTAGGGATTTTTTTAAATATTAGGCCAACGTGGGGTGTCTGGGTGGCTCCAGTGGGTAAGTGTCTGACTCTTGCTGTTGTTTCAGGTCGTGATCTCAGGATCATGGGATCGAGTCCCACGTGGGGCTCCGGGCTCCTGCAGAGTCGGCCTCTGCTCCTCCCCCACTCACACTCGTGCATGTACACTCTCTTCCTCAAATAAATAAAATCTTTAAAAAACCAAACAAGGGGCAGCACGGGTGGCTCAGTGGTTTAGCATGGCCTTCGGCCCAGGGCCTGATCCTAGAAACCAGGGTTTGAGTCCCACCACATCAGGCTCCCTGCATGGAGCTTGCTTCTCCCTCTAGCTGTGTCTCTCTCTCTCTCTCTCTCTCTCTCTCTCTCTCTTTGTGTGTCTCTCATGAATAAATAAATAAAATATTTAAAAACAAACAAACAAACAGGGCA